GCTCAGCAGGTGCTACAGTGTAGAATTAAAATGTAAAATAGATTCACTAGACCAAGGCTGACAATGCCGTTGCCTGGATGACTTTTGAACATTTTTTTCACACAGAAGCAATTATGTAGGATTGTACAAAAGTGGATAAGCAGTTCAAAACTGCGTCAGCTCACATTGTAATAAAAGACAATGCCTTACTACTGTAATCATTTGTCTAAATATGTTTTTTTTTTGGGGGACATCTTTAAAAAAAGGCTCTCAAAAAACTGATTATACTGTGTTGACTTTTAATAATGAAATATTTGATCACAAAAATCACTCCAACAATTTTAAATGCCCTCACTATGTGATCTTGACATAAAAAAACAATGAATTGTAATCAGTTGTTCCTTATTTTGCAGGTTGACCCCCTCTGGTGTCCTTGGGGGTCTGCAGGCAGGTTTGATCAGTGATTGCAGAATGACTTCCCCCTGCTGAGACTCACTTTTCCTGCTACGGGCTTAGCCTGCTTAGTAAGTGATTAGATTAAAAGATGCGCTCTGAATTTTATTTTCTAATCTTCTGATACACAGACTGACACCATTTGACGGATAAACACCTGTGAGGATTTGCGAGTGGGAAAAATGTGTATAAAAAGCACCTATATTTTACTCTGCCAAGTTGATAATAACATTGTGAATATCCATAAAGTTTAGCAATCAAACAGTTGGTCTAGGCTAGTCATGAAGAGTTTATTATATTCTAATCATCTTACCATGTGAGGACATTTTAATTCTGCCAACAAACTAGATTTCCCTCGTGGTGAATTGAATGCTGCCTTTCATTGACTGCAACGAGTGAATGAGGCATGCTGGACCGCAGCTGAAGCTTTAAAACATGATGAGCACAGTGACAAGGCCAACCCTCTGGTGTGAATCAAGAAATTGACATAGACTTAATGAGCAGTCATGCCACCATGAAAACAACACGCAACACTACCCAGAATGCCTTTCCCAGGCCTTGCCATATCCTCTCGGGGATATGTCCTGAGATGACCTCAAATGAAGCCTTTCAGCCTATGTCACATGCACACTCACAAGGCGGCGGTGCAACACTAACGCTGTGAATATCTGAGCCCCCGCCGTGAGGACTGATCACCTGAGCCTCAGACCGGATTACAATTACACTGACAGAATACTGACCTTTTCTACTAATGCTAATGCAGCAGTGTCACTGCCTGCTTTCAGTTGTCCTGGGTGTATCTACTGAAGCACTAAATAAGTAGGAAAAGGCTTACACAAAGCGTTTACAGTAACAATACACATATACAAATGATAACACTTCCACCCGCTTCACACACATTATACACATTGCTTTTATCTTCTTGCAATCCAATCTTAATGACTCCATTAACTGAGAGGCCATTAGTGGCATTCACTTTATGGCCATCCAAACAGCCCAGCCGGGAACGCATTATGGAAAGGGCATGTGTGTGCTAATGTCCATCTCTTGTCATCCTCCTCACACACAAACTCATACACACACTCAATCCTTTCCCCCTAAGGCCAGCTAGCCTGTAGAAAGCAGGAGTGGACAAACAGCTAAGCAAACAGGGCCATCTTGTGTGCTCCATTAGGCAATGAGGAGCAAAGGTTTAGTGCAGGCTGCAGTGCCTCGCGCTGGTGGTCAAGCGGCGGAGGATTGAAGGCACATGAAACTGAAGTGCTGCTCCGTGTTAGAAGAGATCTCAAATCCCAAATTAGCCTGGCTCTCTTTGGAGCAGGCGCTCTCTGCAACACTTCAGGGGTGAACGACCACGCAAGAGGCATCATGGGGCACGACAGCAGAAGCAAGTCACAGAAAATATTGGATTCAGCGTTGATAACAGTGTAACAATGATCTATTCCTAGAGATAACACTAGAAGTGCATGGAGAAGACTGTTCTCTATAGCACAGTTAATGAAATAACAGCTGCTTACCACCTTTGAAGAGGGAGCAGCTGTTCCCAACAAAGAACTGTAAAATGATTAATGATGCAGACAATGTCGAAATGTGTTGTTTTTTGCCTTAACAGTAAGAGGAGAATAACCAAGGAACGATATTTTCAATTTGAAAAAGCAAAATGGAAATGGACTCCAGCGATTACAACATGAAACCCTGAGGGATGATGGGATCATTGATCTGAGAGGATGGGTAACAAACAGGGCGATGGGATGATCTGAAACCAACACGAAAGATTATCTTATGAACCGTGTGCATCATTTACACCAAGCTGAGTGAAACGATTGGAGCATACTGTTCAAACACAGTGTTTGCTGTTGGGAAAAGCACTTCAAAAAAGGGGAAAGTGAATGAGGCAAAAAACATAACTGGTAATTTGGCACATCATCTCCATGTTGCCTTTCTGTTTCTGCATGTCTGCGCCTGCTGAGCAGAGTGCATGTGATTCAACATGGATGCTTCTTGACTGGAGCTGCGCTGGTTCTTATCACTGACTCATTCAGTTATTTTGTGACTGTGGGGCTCAGCTGGGGAAGGCCTCGGGTCAAAGTTCATATGATGTCACTGAAGCAAAGACACTCCATGACATGAACATGAAACCTCTACTGGATGACAAATGTGCTGCACGGCAACAGAAGAGGAACTTCATGGTTGCCAACTTGCGGTGCTTTGGGGCTTTTTTTAAGCTACATGTTTTTGCTCTGTGTTTCATTGATTTTGTTTTGTGCCACCCCCCCCCCCCCCCCCTCTGCTCTGGTTTGTTATTTTTTACTCTTGTACTATACCATCACATTCTTAATGCATCTTCTATTTACTGCCCCAAGCTAATATTTAGCTCTGCAGGCTAATGGTTGCTCCTGCTGAGAGGAGAGTGGAGAAGCTTCCTCTCTGATAGGAGGGGGTCAGAGCCTAACCCTGACATTAGCTCACTACTCTGGAAGCAGGAGGTTTCAGACGCTTGTACTTTACTTCCACTGAGCCGGACAGGACAGCGGCTTCTGCTGCCTGCTTGTTTTTCCCCTCTCCAGAGGGGTGTGAGACCATTTATCAGCTACCAGAAGAACACGTATCGATGTGCTACACAAGCCTGGGAATTCAGCTTTTATTACACTTTAAACTGCAAGGTCAACTTGGCAGGAATCGGTGTCAAAGCTGTCAAGCATGGAAACATGAAACAAATAGCCCACGCAGAGGATGTGGTGTAAAACATCGAGATAAGCAGCAGACATCTCACCGCGATAGCCGTGGTTTATGTTTACACATGTGCAATCAGGTAATATACAGAGGTTTTTTTACCTGTTTACTGATTTTTGGGAGCTGACAGCACAACGTTAACGACGTGAGAAAAGATAAGGTGAGTAAAATGTATGATGACAAGATCCATCAGTTTGAAGAGAAGTTGTTTTTTTCCTCAGCGCCATTCTGTTTATGGCCACTTGTCATATTAAAAGTCACATCATGTCTTTCCTCTTTCACTCCGCTGCAAGCAGAGAAGCCATGTTGTGAAGCAAAGGGCCTTGTGACAGTGTAATGTACTCAGTACTGTCAGGCCTTTGATGCCATCATATGCCCGTCCTGCTCTCTTCTCTGGGTTTTCTGGCAGTGACAAAGGGGATCGGCAGCAGCGTGTTATCAGTGTGCAGCCGCAGTAATCGTATTATTTAGTAATCTTAATTCTGAGAGGCTGACCAACAGTGTGAACAAAGCGGGGCCTAGCTAAACCCATCAGAGTGTTCCCATGGAGCAGAGGTCTTTTCCTGCTCCGCGGCCCCTCTAGACTCCCGTTTTCTCTCTCTGTTTCTCACCCTCCCTCCTCCATGTGTCCTCCTCTCTGTTGCTTTCTGTGTCATAGTCTCCTCTCTCTTTCTCCTTCTGCTCTTGTTCTTCAATCTCCCAAATGTTTTTCATTCCCTTTCTCTCTCTGTCTCTCTGTCTCTCTCTCTCTCTCTCTCTCTCTCTCTCTCTCTCTCTCTCTCTCTCTGGTTTCCTTTTTTTTCCAGCCTCACAATCTTCCTGTCTCTGTAACGCTCTGAGCTGGGAGTTTGTGTAATGGCGTTATTCACAGTTCATTGGTCTGTTTGAAGGGACTATCTTGATTGAGCGTCTCCCGGTGCTGGGCCTGGTGACTGTGGGAGTGTATAAAGATGTGGATGTGTCCGCGGAGATAGATGGGCTTAGTAATATGCAGGACATTGCAGAGGCTTGGTCTCAGTATATAACGTTTCATCAAAGGCAACACATAGTGAGATAAAAGGAAGCTGAAATGATATGCAGCCGGGGTGTAATGCTCAGAGCATTAGACGCGAAATGGAGGCAACAAATAACTAGTCAGGAGTATCACAGTCATTCTCATTAGCTGGTTCACCCTCTTCAGTTTTAGCCCCTTTCCATCTCACCCTAATGAATGCAAGAACACTGACACAGAACCAAAAAACCGCTCTGAGAAGCGAAAAACACTCACTACTAATTAGTTCAAATTAACCTCAGGACCAATATGTTGGCATGTGCACACACAGAGACACACACACAAAGATATCCCCCTCCAAACACACACACACACACACACACACACACACACACACACACACACACACACACACACACACACACACACACACACACACACACACACACACACACACACACACACACACACACACACACACACACACACACACACACACACACACACACACACACACACACACACAGAGAGAAAGGCACCTCCTTTGCCTCTTTCTGACACCACTATGATGCTGTTGTAAGCTTGGCTGTAAGATCAAAATCTCTTTCTTTGGCACACACACACACACACACACACACACATACACACACACACACGCTCAAATTGCCTGAAGCAGAGGAAGCAAAGGAAAGCAAATCCGCTGTGAAGACACCATAAAACCAACACTGCAGAAAAGACGGACCATGTCTGTTTTTCTGCACACATGAGCTGAATACGTGCTAATGACATGCAGAGAACATGTGAACATACACACACACATAGAAAGAGAGAGAGTCCTACTTACAGAATGAATCAGATGGTATCAGAAGCGCTGTGCCATGTTATCGCTGTAGTAGTGAGTCAACACAGGCATGGAGATCAGAGACCACAGGGTTCACTTCAGCCGGGGGGGGGGGGGGGGGGGGGGGAGGGATGCCGTGGGGTGTCAAAGGGGTTCACACTGTCTCATTGGGGGTGAGGACAGTTAGAGGTAATCTGAGGATTCCAGTGTTTATAGTCAGGTGGAGAAAATAATCCCTTTAGAGCAAGGCAAAGAAAAATCAACAATTGATTCAAGGGAGAGGTGTGCAGAGAAAATGAGGGATTGATTGGGCCGGTGTTTTTCTTCCTTCTATCTCTTTCTTTAAGAGAACAAATAACAACAGCCCGTCTTGACAAATAAGAAAAGGAAAGGGTGAAAAATTAGTCAATCAAAAAGGGGCTCCACCTTATCTTTTATGCTGTCTCTTTTTTTTGTGTTTCCTCTGTCTGCTCACTTCTTGTTGTTCTCTTGTTTGCAGAGGTGCCTATGAGCAAAAGAACGCCGGCATCACAAAACCAATCACCTCGCCAGACGACGAGCGCACAGAAAGGAGTAAATGACAAGCACAGATGAAGGGGAGGATTTCCGACACCTGCTCTCTCCCTCTGTTTCTCTGTTTCTCTGCCTCTCTCTCTCTCTCTCTCTCTCTCTCTCTCTCTCTGTCTCTTTCTGCAACCTGTATTTCCTTTCTAGTAACAGCCCCCCTCCCTCGCAGTGCCAACGTACCGACTGAGGTGGATGCAGATGAAGTAACCACAACCTTCTCCCTGTGTCTTCCTCACAAACTATTCCTGCATAGAATGACAATGAAATGCTTCTGTGCAGATTGTCTGCCTGACACTTGGAACAGGCTGTGTACCCGTCTGTCTGTCTGTCTGTCTGTCTGTCTGTCTGTCTGTCTGTCTGTCTGTCTTCCTGTCTGTCTGACCAGCTTCAGAGCTTGTCTGTCAGTATAGCTGTCCGTTTACCGGGCCATCTTTCAGTCTGTCTTCCTGCCAAACACTGAAATGCAGACCAGGCAGGTGCAGGGGGGACATAACCCTTCTCTCCTGCTCAAGTGCCCCCCCTGGTGTAAATCCCGACCCTCCCCATTGCGCTAACTAGCCTCCAACACGGCAAAATTCAAACAGTCCTAATTCTCTATTTCTCTCTGTACCTGTTTACTTCTATGCTCTGCTTTCCCTTCTCCTCAGTGCCAGTCTCCTTCTTCGTTATCTATTCTGGACAGTGTGTCCCTCCTCTCTCTCCGTCACCGAAGGGGGATAAAGAAGAATGGCGCTGCTTCATAATGTATCTCTCCTCGATGTGTGAGAAAGATGGCGAAAAATGAAAAAGAAGGGGAAAAATGTGGCAACAAAGTTGTTTTTTCGAATTGTTCTTTTAAAAAAAATAGAACAATGGCCGTTCTCTCCCACAACAAATCAGAGCAGAGAACCTCTCAAGGGGGGATTTTCAATTACTCGCTTTTGCCCACACGCCAATCTGAAAAAGGGGCCCAGCTCTGAGGTGTGCACAAAAGTGTCGTAATCTCGACAGGATATCCGGGCGATAAATCCGGACATGTCCGAAAGCTCCATGCCATTGCTCAAGCATCACTGCAACTTAATTCATTTCAGGAGAAGTTCAAGAAGCTCAATCGTATTTGCTCAACAGGTTGGCTGTTTTGTTGTAAGTCGACTCCTCTGAGGCTTGTCACGCACTGCTTTTTTCTCCACTTCCTGGATCACAGCTTCTGGTATCTCACTCTGAATTGTAGGAGTTTAAATCTGCAGGTTCAGTCCTCGCTGGGCTGGAGATGTAGAGAAGGTTAGATGTGGTAAGCTCGTCGCTGGAGGGTGGATGTTGGCTTCCACGATGCCCATTTGGTGTCCATCTCTGCAGGGCTTTAGATCTGGAAGGGAAGGGAAAGGAGAGGGCAAAGTAGAGAGGAGAGAGAGCAAGAGTGCATGAAAGGTTAGCATGGTGACATTTGTGTCACTCTGCCTTATCACGTACGTCATTCTCCTCCTCGTCACACTCCACCCTGCCTGTCGTCCTGCTGTCTATTCCGTCCTTGTCAGTCTTCCTCCGACTTTGCTGCTTGTTTGCTCCTTCCTCTTCTCCACTCACTCTATGATTTGATCCTCTCACTCTCATAAACAAGCTCATCTTCAAACACTCTGACCCGCCACATCTCTCTTCTACTCTACCCTATATCCAATCTTAAAATCTACAGCTAGCCTGATTTCATTCAATCATTTATCCTGTCTTTTTCCTTCAATTCCAAGTTAGCAGTCCAGCACACTCCACAGTATCCAAGATGCATGCGATGGAGCACACCAAAGGTCGAAAAAGGGACCTCTGACTGGTGAATGTGCCTCAGGCAGCTGGAGCACTGCAGTCCAGGTTTAAAGCATTGTTCAGATACACCTAGTTATACTTGACGGTGAAGACAGCATGGTGGAGGCTGTCATTTGTATTCAAAATTCACAGTAGCAGTCGAATCTTTGAAAATATTTGATATGTGAGGATGTAGACCAGGGGTGTCAAACACAATTTCATCGCGGGCCACATTCGCATAAAGGTTGCACTCAAAGGGCCGGTTGTAACTATATAAATATATAATATATATATAAAATAATGTATTATATTACATTATTGCCTCTGAATTGGATTATTATCGGATAGGATAATAACTTAGTAATTAACTACGTTTGAAAGCAGAAGTCCAGGGCAAATAATTGCAAGTCTCTTCAGTGCGCATGTCACAAAACGAGATGCATTGTGGGACATGTAGTTTATGGGCAACCTGCTTCGGCATGTAACCGTATAATAAACGTATTATATTCTTTGCAAGCTCTTGCGGGGCCACATAAAATGAAGTCGCGGGCCGGATTTGGCCCCCGGGCCTTGAGTTTGAGACCCCCTGATGTAGACATTTCAGAATCTGAGGTGTAGAAGTGCAACAGGATGTGGCTTGTTATCAAGTGTTCCTAAAACACTGTCCCTCCGCTGCACTGCATGGCCTGCTGCCCTCAGTGAGCTGTTGGTGCTCCTCTTGCTGAATGAAAGGGAAATGAGAGACATGAAAGCTCTGCTGAATGGATAATCACCACACCATCTCCGAGGTAATTGGAGGAAGCATTTCCGATTCAACTGCATATATGGGGAAAAACGATGCAAATAGATACGGCTGTTTGCAAACTTTGTAAACTGCAGCATAGCAACACTAGCTTGTCTTTAGAGGGAGGAAACTGAGGCACCACAAATAAGCAAAACAGAGTTATCTCAGCAACGCATTTTTAGGAAAGGCTGTATGGGTCAACGTAAAAACAAAATACATATCAGTTTGAATTGTGTTCAACATATACATGAAGATGTGATAGCCTTTGTATAGATAGTTATCCCTTTGACTCTCAAACGGATCAAATGGTAGTAATATTGTTGGTTCTAGACATGATAAAGGGATCACGGTTTTACTATCTTAGGGGTGCTTTAAAATTCTACTATTCCTATTCTTTCTTATACGTTTTATAGCAAATGCACGTAGATAAGTTGCAGAGCTCCTCTGTTTCGAGAAAAGTTATTCTACATATAAATGAACAGAAGAATACAAATGCATAGCTGAGAATGGCCTCCATTTCATACATATTTTAGATTTTGAAGTCACACAAGGACATGTTTTTAAATTGTACCATCTACAGGCATCCTTTGAGTCCTTATAACGTTGGAATTTGATCGTGCTCTGTCTTATTTCATGAATTTAAAAATAGATCAGTGTCTTCTGGGAGTCGGTTTGATTTAGTTAACACTTTGATAAATGTCTCATCTCCAAATAGTCACCTTTGTGTACCTTCATATTGTGCCAAGACATGTTCTTAGATCCCTTCAAACTAACAATGTTCCAGGCAGAGAGGTGAGCATGCAGATGACAGATGGCAAAACTAATGTTGGCTTGAGCTTAGACAGACTTCTTGGGTGCCTGTTGAGATTCCTTTTATTTTCATTCTCTTATAAATCAAACCTTCTTTTGTTAGATAGACTGCTTGAATCTAAAAAAAAACGCAGCAGGATGTCAAGTACTAACTACACAACAGGTAGTCTTGCCTGTTACTATGCAACAGTGCGACCTGTTGATTATATCGAAGCGTCATTTAAAACTTTCAATCCAGAAACCCACAGCTCACAACCTAATGATGAAAGCCTCCTGAATTCATAACAGCACAGAGAAAGCATACATGGAAACATGGAGGAAAACTCTGAGCCATGCAGTGACTTCATCTCTTTTAACAGAGCAAACCAAAATCATTAAATAGGTTTAGTGACTTCTTCCTTTTTTCAGAGACTACTGAGGTGATGGTCCATTTAAAATGAAACATTAGAGGCCACTCTGTGTATCAGCTCCAATCAATACTGCTGAATGGATAGATGTGACCCTACTGTGACACCCATATTCTCCTAGGACCATTTAGGATGATACCATGTGTGTGTGGTGTGTGTGTGTGGTTAGTGCTCAGTGTCTGTTTGCGTGTGCCACAGCCACACGTGTGAAAAGATGTAGGGAGGTGTGAATTGGTGTGCAGCAAGGAGTGCAAATACAAGGTGCGTGTGAAACGAGAAACAGTGTGTGTCTCTGTGTGTCTGCATTGCATGTTCATGTGACAGCTGTCATGACTGAAGCAATTAAACACATTGATCTGCTTCATAACCTTCTGTTTCATCAATCCCACACACCTATGCCTTCTCTGCATTGTATCACAGACACACACACACGATGAAAAGCTATCAAAATGATTGACACAAACACAGAAATAGCAATCCTTTCACACACACACACACACTCAGGAAAGAGACTCAAACGTATTTGGTGTGTCTGAATTCAAACAGAATGCGGAGAGGAGCTTGAAGAAACCGAAAGAGGGATGGAGGCGAGGAGGGGAGGAGGGGGGGGGATGGATGGCACAGCCGAAGAGGGGAAGAGAGGGAGAAGCAAAGAGGGGAATGGGGGGGGGAGAGAAGCAACACATTGAAGTGAGCTATTCAGATTTGATCCAAATCCATCAAACTGGACGGGCCTGTTAATGTCTCGATGGGGGGGGGGAGATAGATGAGGAGAGATGGATGCTGGATGAAAAGAGGACAGAAGGAGGGATGGAGGGAAACAGGTGGGGGGGGGGGGGTAAGGTGGGTCGGACAGTGGGTGAGAGACACATGAGGGGAATCACATCAGTGGGGAAAATGCCTTGGACGTACTAAAACGTGAAACAGGGAAATTAGAGGTGAAAGAGAAAGGAAAGAGGGAGAAAAGGTCGAGAGGACGGACACTCACCCATTTCAGCAGACTCTCCCCCGGCGAGCACAATCCCCGCTCTGTGATCCCATCCTGGGGAAAGGCGCAGCGAGATCCTGGAGCTCCCTCCACTGAATACCAATGGGGGCTGCTAATATCAGCTCTCACACACACACACTCACTCACCGGCACTGTGGAGGAAAAAGCCACAAACACACAGAGTCAAGTCCGGCGTAGTTGTTTAAATGAGAAGAAGAAGATGAAGAAGAAGAAGGAGCTGTTCAGTGATGCAAACAGCATATCACAACAGAAAGAGACATTGCAGCACAACTGCATTTGCATTCCTTTCTTCCTCTCTTATTTCCAATTTCTTCATGAAAAATCAGAGGCAGTGCACAAGCCAGAGGCATAACACACACACACACACTGATATTTACAGCCTATGCAAATACTTACAGAGCATATATTCAATCCCGTCAAGTCCCACAGTCGACTCTTTTCTGGCTCACAGCTCCACGGCGTCCAAGGGTGTTAGAGAGAAATGAGTTGTCCGCTATCTTCCCTTTCCCTCCCCGTGGGCTCCTCACAGCGGCGTCTGATGCAGAGATAAAAGCAAATGAAGGCAGACTCTCCGTCCTCCCTTATTGTCTCCTCATGTGCAGTGTACATCCAGTTTTTCTGTATCCATTTGTTGATTCAGGTCCAATCCGTACGCCTGCCTGTTTACTTCGCTGTGATTCGGCGACACGCAACGGCAAACTGCATTCACTTAGTCACCCTCCCCTCTGCCTCTCTCCTCTCTGTCTCTCCCCTTGCTCAATAGTATACCCGTACCTCCTTGGCTTTCTCCAATCTAATCAGCTCTCCCTCTCTCTCTCTCTCCCTGCACCCTCCCACTCTCTCCCCTCCCTCCCTTCTTCATCCCAACACCCACTCATTTACTCTCTCTCCCTCCTAGGTATTTTTTCTCAAAGATGAATATCAACTCACCCCCTCTCTCTTCTCTCTGTCAGTCTCTGCGATAAGTATTTGAAATAAGTGGGAAAGCAAAAAACTAACCATGAAAGGAGAAGACACACACATCTGACACACACACACACACAGGCCAACAGAGAGAGTAATCATAGGGATGTGTTACATCCCTAGCCAGGGTAAACTACCCTGACAGAGTTTGACATGGCTACATGCTCAGGGTGACAAACACTATCACTGCACCACGCGACTCGCCTCATATCCTATGACACACATAATGTAATGCACTGACACACACACACATAAATCTACACGCACACACATTTACATGCACCCACACACAGGAGAATCAGATGTAAACACACCATTTGGCACACATTCTGAGGCACATATTGATATTATGTCAGTGATATGCACGAACACAAAGTGGAGGTAAACACACACGGACATAAATCCGATTCAGAGCAGGAGGTTAGATCAAACATACGCAGGCGCTCACAGTGGGGGGTTGGTACCAAGTCTATTTACTCAAGTACTGTACAATTCTGTACAGTAGCACAGAAAAGTTATCCAAAATAGTAGATTTTGCACTCAAATTCAAACGGGACATCCAATACTTTTTTATTCTCCCAAAAGATTCAACCTCTTGTGGGAAAAGACAGCATGGAGAACTGGCAGGAAAATAAGTTACTGCAGTAGAAAAGTAAGAAATATTTCTTTGCCCCATTTCTATAATTTCATTTAACTAATTACAATATATTTTCTTTTGTTTATATATGACTCTTTTGCTTTACATGTTTGATCCATAATGCCATGCCAATTAAGCCAATTTAATTAACATTTTGTTCAATTTTATGCAGTTCAGTGAAAAGATTTTTTACAGCCATTGTTACTAGAGAAATGAAGCTTGTTTGGGGTCATTTCGGTTCTCGAGAGATGACAGGAAATGATGTGAGAGACAGAAATGAGGAATGACATGCAATGGTGTTGCGTTTTATGGTCATCACCAACACCTCGCCTACCATGCGCCCATAAGACTACAATTAAAAAAGTACAAAACAAGTTATTCTTATTAAAAATTATATATTTTGTATAAATCTATCATACAATTTTACATCTGTATACAATATATAGTAATATATCACCTTTAAAGAACTGTAAATGCTGTTTGCATATTAATATAATTGTAATGCCAAACTCTAGAAAGACAGTGCACAGTGAGTATATTTCACAAATAATTCAAATGTTTCCTCCATTTCTAGACGTACACATGCACACATACTGTACCCTGACACATTGCTGCAAATCCTCTCTCTCCTCACCAGAGCACCCTGACACTTCACGTGGGACTCCCTTGAATGGAGGTGACACCCTCCTCACTATATATAATATTCACTCATATAAAGGCACAACTCCACAACAGCGCGAGCCCACTGCCAGCAGACAGCAGTCTCCGGAGAGGCCGCGCTCACATATGATGTCACCGCCTAACTCCCATATCCCACTTCTATCACGCCACGCTGTCTCATCCCCTAACGAGGAGCCCGGGACCCTGCTTTTGTTCTTCTCTGGTGCGCTGGTCAGTCCGAGTCTCCGTTTCAATATAGATCTGTTTCCTAACCTTGCAGCCCCGATGCTCTCTTAGCATTTTATGTTCTCCAAGGCTATTAAACTCACCACAGTTTGTTGAATCATTGATTTTGTCACTCTTTGCATGAGGTGGCTCCTTAATTGCTAGTGACAACACTGTGCTGCCCTATAGTGATATTTCTAAGTTAAGATTTTCAAAAGAGAGGTTCCGTTACGAGATTTAAAATTGACAACTAAATATGCCATGTGTCATTTACTAATTAATCCACATTGCTTCTGTCCAAACAACAATCTTAAACCCACACAGTGACACATTATAAAGAGCCTATTTGTGCCTGCCTTATTGACTAATACCCTCTGATTTAAGCCTCTGGATACATCAACTCCGGTTCGTCCGCTAAGCTGTCCCCTAATCAAACAAGAGAGCAAATATAGTATGTGACAATGCTGAGCTGTCTCCTCCACTTTGGTCTCAAACTGCCCCCCCCTTCACCCAATGCTTCATCATGTTTTCACCTATTCACTTTGCATCTCATAAAATAATGTGCATCTCAAGATGTCTTTGTCCAGTGGGCGGACAGTGCTGGAGCACCTATTACTCACTCATGTTTGAGCCGATTAGGCTGCAGCCATGTCACGCCAGAGGTTCCCTCAGGCCATGGCATTTTGTTTTTTGGTGTGTGTGTTTGTGTGGACATTTGGATGACTGTTTCTGCATCCATCCGAATTTTTGAAATTCTTCATTAGGCTGTGTGTGTGTGTGTGTGTGTGTGTGTGTGTGTGTGTGTGTGTGTGTGTGTGTGTGTGTGTGTGTGTGTGTGTGTGTGTGTGTGTGTGTGTGTGTGTGTGTGTGTGTGTTAGGAGTGTTTACCCCAAAGCTTTGACCCTCAGCTGCAGTTTTTAGGCAGTCAGGAGGAGTCTCCATGTGCTGTCGCTCCCATTCCATCACCCACACTGACACACGCCTGCAGTCCTTTTGTGTGCGTGTGTTGTCTAATTTACCCCACTCGTGGTTTGCAGCACTACGAGGTGACAATGAATCTGCTCTGTGAGAGTGCCTGTCTGCGTACTAAGCCAGTCTTTTTATATTCGCACTATATTGAAGATCCAACATGCAGAAACAAATATAATTTAATATTACTGGTGATTTAGGCCTCACTGCATCCACTGAAAGTCTGCTGTCACTCTCTGTTTCAGTCTCCCTTTCTTTCTCTTAATATGCATTCAACAGCTGTCTCTCTCTCATTTCCATCCCACACCACTTTGCTCTTGACAAATTGATGTGAAGCACTTTTACATAACAACTACGTATCACGCACACACACACTCCAAACACCATCCACAGCACAAATGTAAACCTTACTCAACCATTACACATACACTTTGCTGCAGGTGTGAAGAGCCCAGAGTTTTTTTTGCGGATGTGTTTTTCATACTTTTCTCTTTGTAGAACACAAATGTGCTCTCGTGTTAACTATTGCTTGGAAAGCATGCAAAAGAGGGGAGGGAGAAGTGGGGGAAGACAGAGGGAGAGGGAGGGGGGAATTGACATTCTGCCCGAGCACTGCGCTCTGCTCGTGGAATAATGATTAGCTCCTCAGTATTCTAGTCACAAATGCTTCACTATCAATGAGAGAGAGAGAGAGAGAGAGAGAGAGAGAGAGAGAGAGAGAGAGAGAGAGAGAGAGAGAGAGAGAGAGAGAGAGGAAGGAGGAAACATGAGGGCAGGGGAAAGAGAGGGAGGAGACAACTAGAGGGAGGAGGGGGACGCGTGAGAGGAGAGGAGCACAGGGAGAAACAAGGTGAGGAAGGGAGCAGGGGATGAAACAAGTGAGGAGTAATGGAGGACAGAACAGATGAGTGTACAGTGTGACATAAGCGGTGGACGTAGGTGCCCGTATGCTGCAGTACACACACACCATAGACTGTATAAGGCTCTCACACACACACACACAGACACACACACACTCACAGATGCATGATGCGTGTGTTCAAGATCGAAACAGGCGCAACAGTCGGACAAAATTTGCCAAACTAAAATTCGAAGCTAGTGCAGGTGGCGCATGCACACGAAAAAACACTCTTGTGCACCATTGCATCCACATCCACACACACACACACACACACACACACACACACACACACACACACACACACACACACACACACACACACACACACACACACACACACACACACACACACACACACACACACACACACACACACACACACACACACACACACACACACACACACACACACACAAAAAAACACACACACACACACACACACACACAAAAACACCACTACATGCGTGGAGACTACTTTGTCAAAGTCAGAGCAGGTACAGCCACCTCAGCAAACAGGGAGACAGAGGCTATGTCGCAGGGGGGAGAGCGGGAGGGACAGAACAGGGGAGTGATGATGAAAAAGGAGAAAAGGAAAAATAAGAGAAGGACAGAGGCGGGAGGGAAGCATGTGCAGGCAGTAAATATGTAATCACAAAGCGTAGAGAATGATAAATGTATACCATTACCTAAATAGGTCAATCATACTGTAATAAATATGATATGATAATGGAGTGTGGAGTAAGTTTACATAAGTGTGCTCATTTAGTCCAAAACAAAGAACTACATCATGTTTTTCCACGCCTCCTAATTCAGACTTCTTGTATGACTGATTAGCATCATTTTGATTAAGATGTATAATCTTAAAACACACTGTGGTAAATAATTTAATAATGCAACGTGCAGAGAAAAAGCAACCAGCAACAATCACAAATAGATTAGGTGAAATTAATATTAAGTGTTATAGATTAGGCACCCAAACTTTAAATAAACAGTATTTAAAATCTGGTAAAGTGTGAGATAATTCTTCTAAATACCTCCTTGGCTGCATTTTACATTACATTACATGTCACTTGTTAGACGCTTTTATCCAAAGCGGCTTAGACACTCAATACTGTGGGTAATCCCCACAGGAGCAATTTGGGGTGAAGTGTCTTGCCCAGGGACACAACGACATGCTGACTGCAGTGGGGTTTGAACGTGTGACCCCCCTGATCCGAACACCAACGCACAACCCACTGCACCACACGCCTCCCCTGTGTAAAAGAAAAACAGTCATGCTAATTTAGAAGAGTCCCTAAGGTAACTAGAAAATGCATTTCCTGCTGAAAATGCGTGTGAATGCTGTAAACTGTGTACATTTGT